AGACGGACGCACTTGCGCGTCGCGCGTCGCGCGCGCGTTATCGAGACGAATTCCATTCCCCGGATCGTTTCCGACGGCGAGGGCGCGACGCGGAGGGCCGTTTTCGGGACCCGGGAATCCGCGGCATCCCAAATCCGAGAAGGCTACGATCGGTGAAACCCGGAATCCGTGAATCCCCCACGGAGGGGGCACCGGGGTGTAGAATCTTGTAGGCGATAGAATCCGGGGGATTTCGGAACTTCCGTCGCTCGGCGAAGATTAATATCCAGCAGGAGATTAGGAAAACAAAGTCCCCCCCCCCCGCTCTCTCTCTCTCTTTCTCCCCTTGTAGCGACACTTGAAACCGATATTGAATTTAGGAATTTAGCGTACACGCGAATGCGGAATCGAGAATTCGATAGAGGTCGAGATGAAAAATCGTTGTGGATTTAAAGTTCCCGCGTAATACGGAGTCAAATCCGGGTCTCTTTAGAATCTGGAATCGAGGCTTAACGATATCCGTAAGATTCGACGCTCGTAAAGGAGTTGAGAAATCCAGGATTTACGAAACGGCAAAGTTCGGGGACAAGGGAACTATAGGGAGTCCCGATTAAACGGAGTTACCCGAGTTTCGGCGGGCGTCGCGGGCTTCGGTCGTTCCGCCCCGATCGCAGCCTAATAAATCGGGAAAGTCGCCTGAAGAAATGTGCATGTTGCGCCGAGCCGATGGTCGCTCTTCGTAACGGAACGAGCCGAAAGTGAATTATATAGTTATTCCGACGTTTAGCGCGAGATTACTTTCTTCTGCCCTACTTTTGTCTTCACGAGCGGCGCTCGTCGCCGGCGGTTTCTTCGCCGTCATCTCGCGACGTTTGAGAGGGAAAAGGTGACACGAGACGCGGGGAGAGCCGACGAAAACGCTGGTATAAATCGCGCGCACGCGCTCGCGAATGAAAATCCGCGGCCGCTCGATCGAGCGTGTAACGGCGGCGAATCGGCGCGAAAAACCGCTTTTTGCGCGCGTTACGCACCGAGTGCTCGGTGAAAGTGATGCTTATGCCGAAGACGCACGCTCAGAAAACTGAGCGTACGCCGCGCGCGCTCGCTTTCCTCCCGCTCGTCTAACGAGTTCACCGTGCATCGAAGTCCGCCGGATAACACACCGGGACACCTTTAATAAACCAAGTCCGATTAATCGGCCGCTTTCGCGTCCCGATTGGAAACACAGTTTCGAGCTTGACGCGAGTTGGCTGGCGCGCGCGTGAAATGTAAATCGTAGATACTTTAACCCTTTCGTGACCAAGTTCATTTCTATTTCTTAATGGCACTCACGTTGGTTGTTTGATTTTATCTAGGGTTCTTATTTAATGTTTTACTTTTTAATTTTGTCGACGCGCGTGATACGTTTCTCAGTGAACGCGTGCTAAATCATCGGGTCTCTTTACATTTTCTAAACAGGGACTTATGCCTCGGTGGTAATGGAAAGGGTTGATTTAGACAAGAATGTAAATTAGTCCCAAAAATACATCGTGTTTCATATTCGATACGCAATGAGAATTTTATAGGCGGTTGTTTAAATTCTTTGAGCTATTTTGCGTGATATAAAGATATATGATGTATATATGGACCAATGTTTTACTGTTAATCTATTACGTATGAGCAAAAGTAATCTTCCAATGACGTAATTCTTGTAAAATGTATAAAAATCAATGTATTTTCTTCTATTCATAAAAATTTTAAATAACTACGTCTCATCAAGTCACTTAAGATAATTGACATCCTGATAAAATCTATTTCCTTCACATTTTTACTGTTGTCACAATTGGTATAATTTTGTCTCGACGGCACAAAATTTAGTGAGTTTATGGAAAAGTAAAAGATTTGTTTCTCTTTCCCATTCTTTCTTCTTATGAAAAAACATAGTCAAGTGATCGAGCATTCGACTTCGGTTCTCATGGCGAAAATTACTACTGGCGTGAATAGCAGTGGCATTGTCGCTTTCGGAGATTCTAGCTTTATTGCAATTTGATTTGAATTTGATACAACATTGGGGGGCGAGCAGATTTCGAACTGTATTTGTAATAGTTTTGTTAGAAAGTTTCGTTTCTCACTTTCCAACCGCTTTCTAAAAATGTGAAAAGAACAACGATGAGCACCCATTTCAATTCGTGTTCTAACGGCTTGTAATTACTCGTCGCGGCCTGCGGTCAGGACGAAATTGCAAGGCTCCGCCTCTCGTCAAAAGTTCGACAAAACCCGCGCGTCGAAATTGACTTGTAAAAAATTTGAATGGCCAATTGATGATCAAGTCCCGGGTGCAAAACGATAAGTTCTTAAATTAAAAAACTGTAAATATATTAGATTTCTTTTCTGAACGTTATTAATATATACCTTGTTATTAGTAGATATTAGTTGGTTTATATTTTAAGTTTTAGTCTATGGATTGCAAAATCTATAATTTAGTATTTATCCCTCAATTCAGCGTTTACCTCTATCTAGTAAGTGTGGCGATCGTGGCGCAGAGGATTGTGCGCTAATCCGAAGACCCGGGTTCAAAACCAAATAAAAACGTTGTTGGTTTCTCGTTCGATCGCCATATAGCGAAGTGGATATACTAAAATTAGGAACGGACTCTAATGGCAGAGCCTTTATAAAAAAAAATTTTTTTAAAGGCTCTGCCATTAGAGTCCGTTCCTAAATTTTTTTCCCCACCACACCACCACCACCACCTCTATCTAGTATTTATCCCTCAATTCAGCGTTACCTCTAGCATTTAAGAAGATTAAAAATTGCAGAAATTACGCTCTCTGTAGATATCAAAATTTATAGAATCTTGGATTTAGGAATTTGTTTAATCCGTATTCATGTATAGAATATTCCTGCTAGTTTAAAATCATATTCGTTGAAATATTCAGTAGTTAAAGAATTCACTTAATTATTTTTATCATTCGACATAGCCGAAGCTTAGACAAAACATCGTCATCACTTGAAAATTAAACCATGGTGGAACTTGTGTGTATGCACAAGTGTGAACAAGATTCGCTGAGACGTTTCCATTAGTTACACACGTTGTTCGATAACGTTGTGTGAAACGGCGTCATTTTTACGGATGTGTCCACGTTTGTCAGAGCAAAGTCGCGAAACTGAGCGCTCGCGCGCGCGCGCCGTGTTATAACATGACTGTAAATTATAAGAATTGGGCCACAGCGCGCACACACATTGGTGTACGCGTTCTTTTTTCTCCCGAGTCACCGTACACGAGCCACACATACGCAATTATCGCTAACGCGGATGTCTGCTCGCAGTTCACGGGACCTTGGCCGGTTTTCCTTTCAGCGGTACGCGATTGAAATTCCCGGCATACGTGGAAAGTGACTTGACCGACCGAGGTATGCGTCGATTTAATCGCTCGAAGGTAAAGAAGGTTGTATGCATCACGCGACACAAATCTAACCTAACCGTAAAATGCACATTACCAACGTCGCTCAACGTCGATAACCGATTCAACGTAGGTAAAGTAGAAAATCAATATCATCAGTCAATGCTGCGTTTTCCTGCCATATCGACGCACGTAAAACAGAATAGACGAAACGTGTTCACCACTTACCTTTACTCGCCTCGGGGTGGATATTCTCCGTTTTAATTTCCGTTCTGGAGACATAAGGGATGGAAGTTGGAGACGGTTGTGTCGAAGGCGCTGCTAATTTTTCTAAACACATAATATCAAAACGCAATTAATACACACCGCGAAAGAGATATTGCTGATATGAGTAACATGCAGTAACGATAGTGCAATTTACCGGCTAATAGAGGGTTCGCAGCGGCGATGTTGTGCCTCTGTCTCTTGTAGGACGAAGGTGTTGTGGTGGAGGTGGGTTGGCTGGCCTCTGCCTCGAGTTCCCGCAGCAAGTCCAGGGGATCGAAAGGAATTTCCTCCCCTGTGACACCGGACATACCAGTACCTTCCTCCACCGGCACATTCGATGCCGTTGGTGTTCCCACCAGAGCACTCAATTCCATCGATGAAAACTCCACCGATTGGCCCGTGTTGCTCTGCGTTGTTGAAAATACGGCACATTAAAAAATGAAGATACAGATTTGATCAATGCTCTCATCTTACGATTATAAAAATTATGTACTAATATTACGTATATATCCAATACATCTCGAATATTTTATGGAATTTAGATTCTCTATTGTTGTAAATTAATAAACCCAAATCAAGTTTCATTCAAATCTCTTCAAGCTTTAGTTATTCAAAATTCTGTTCTTTGCTGTAACGAAAGTCAAATTGTACATTCTAGGCGTCGTCGCGCAGTCTGATGAATGAGATCTCTTCGAGTCCCGTGAATTTTAAAATGCAAACTCGAAATCCGCCACTAATCACTCACCTGAAGGCACTGGGTGAGAGTGTCTATCTTTCCGTCATTGTCATACCAGAACAGCTCGTCGTCTATGAAGGGCATGTTTGATTCCTCCTTGGGCACGAGGGTGGAGGTTAATGTGGGTGTTTGCGATACGGGGACCGGCATCGGGACCCGTACCCAGCGGCGGGGCCACTCTAGCCACCCCCGCGCCTTCTAACATCTAAAACCACCTCCGAGAGACTTCCCCGCCTCTTTCGCCTTCCGCCTTATGCCGCACCCAGATGGCTCGGTCCTTTCTTTTCTACGCGCTATTGTTCACCTGAAAGCAGAATTCACGATTAGATTGTGTGCACCGTAAAAAAAATACAGGTGATTAACTTTAAACTCAAAATGGTTTCCCCCGGCGCGTGACGCAAAACGCGAATATAATCTTCCTTCATTTACAACGAAGTGTACATCCGTAACATACATGGCTCGCATGCAATGTTGATACAGCTCGTATAAAATTGTAATTTCTCCGTTAATAAATTAAGATAAGCGACGAGACGGTTAATTAAGCGCGAAACGGGATCTCTTTATCTCGCAACAACTTCCGGTGCATCGCACCGCGCGTTCGCACTTTCGTTTGAATTCTAATTTCAACTCGGCTAAAACGCAGCTTGATTACAATGTTACTTTCTCTTGCCGTCCGTGTATACCCGTATTATACACGACGTAATATTATACGCGAAAAAATGTAAGAAAAATACGACGCGCTCTATCTCACTCTTTCTCACGTGCGTGCGCGCCCATACAGGGTATAAAGTCAACAACTGGAACGAATATAACGTTTAAAATTTCATCGGAAGATCTACACCTAAAGACGATTACGTTTATGAACCGTGGATGTGATGTATGTCCGCGTTTGCGAATTCATTCCGAGCAATTGCGATAAGCAACATTTCTTTACTATTAAAAAATTATAGAAAAAATCTTGAAACTATTGAGTTTGTTTCTAAAAACATGCGATTTAAAATGGAACAAGTCACTTTGTGTACGCGCGTCGAAATCTCGAAAGAGTTGACCACGCGTTCCAAGTAACACGATTATGTTCAAAATATAATAAGCGTTTAATAAGCGTGTAAAATCAGTTTTAAATGTGCCAATTGAAACAAACTAAACGTTTGAAATTTGACACGGTTTTTAAACCATTTGATGAAAGTTATAAAAATGTTTTATAAATCTTTTATAAACAATTGTTTCTTTTACACGTAATTACAGTAAATGGATGCATAAAAAGCGATATAAATGAAATATTCGACTATATTTAAAATTAGTCTTCAAAAACGTGCATATAAATTTTGTTTATATGCTTTTTTATTAGTGTATCCACCTGTTTCAACGTTTCTCTGGCTAATTATAAGTTTAAAATACCATTTTTACACGAGACATTTTAACGATTTAATAAACGTATTTTTATATATTATAAATGTCATAAAAATATATAAATTTATTAAACAAAAATTATCCGCTTGGCATGCATTTATTTCTTCGTTTGTGAGAATATTTAAATGCAAATTAAAACAAGATATCGAGATTTCGAAAAGTCGAAAATTTGATAGCAAGCGCGTCGGCGGTAAATCTTTCGTATAAATTTCCCGCATTCGTGCAAATAAACGAAGAATAAAGAACCGAAACCAGGAACAAGAGATCTTTCGAAAAAAAGAGTTCCGTTCCGAAGAGGAAGTCGATCAATATAGCCTCACGAGGCTGCCTGTCCGCGCGCGACGAGCAACGCTGATGATTCGTGACTAATTCGCGTAATGCAATTGCGGAGAGAAAGAGAGGGCGCGGGCAATTTCCATGAAAGTGAAAACACCGAGCGAGAACTTTCTTTCTGGCTTCAGCGCAGCGCTGTTTCACTTCCTGTGCGCGTAACCTCGCGCTCTCCCGCCGCCGTCGCCGCTGCGTTTCTATGCAGCTTACTACCCGGTCGCGGCGCTTGCCTTTACGTAACTCGCAGCCGCGAAAGAAAGTTTCCACGGGTAGAGGTTAACATCCTCCTCTCCCGTCTAACGACTAATACCGTCGCGATTGATTACCAAACCGTAATCAACGTTCCCGCTCGAGGAAACGCGCTCCTCGTGCAAAATCCTCTCGAAATACGCGCGTCTCTCTCTCTCTCTCTCTCTCTCTCTCTCTCTCTCTCTCTCTCTCTCTCGCGATAATAATTAGGTAAATTTTCCTAG